ACCTGGGTCTGATTTGTCATGAGACTACAGCCCTGGTTACATACCTTCCCAAAAATAAAGGTGATATCTAAACACCTGATCAGAATCGATCAGCCCTTTCCCGTCATAATATTGGGTGGTCAGTTTGTCATTGTGGGTGATCCGTTAAACATATTCATGAATACTGACATTCATATTAACCGGTTTGCCATACCATAAACCACCGGAAACCAAGATGAGCAGTTCGATGTCTGCATAACTCCTTTCCCATTCCTCATTCCCAATAACCTGAACGTTTTCGAAAGTTACAGTAAGGTAGCCGAGCTCGAAAATGACATTTGAATTCAAGGAATGTCATGGGGAACGTGGAAAGTTCACAGGAATCTATTTATACAGACATTCATTCGACAGCTCGACCTACTTGTAATTTGGCTATAAGAGATAAGCTATTAGCAAAGATGTAAGTGATATCTACAAAGCAACCGTAAATAGTCCCGTAATAAATCGGAAAACGTCATGGTGCCGTCGATGTCATTGGGATGGGCTCTGATGTGGCCACCACCAACTCTCTCATTCCCCAATCGACATCAATGCAGCGATTATCGCAAATCCAATCACAGAAGCTGTCCATTGAGCGAATTTATTGTAAGGTTTAGTACTTTCCGGAACCAATATCTAAATAAAGCTCGTTAAAAGTACGGTAAAGGCCAAAGGTGAGTTAGAAGTCAATAAATTTGAATTTTTCTGGAATCTTGAGAAATAGAAGAAAATAAGAAATAGAATTTTGTCGAAGATTTAGGTTTATTTAGCTGTAGGACCAGAAATATCACCAAAATATTGTCAGGAGTAAGTTGATCTGCACTGGAAATGTTTGAAGGTCTTGGAACTCGCAAACGTGACCATGTTTCCTATGAGCCGTTAGAAGCCGTCCATTACTCTATCTCTGTCAAGACCATAAGGACCTCAGCTTTTCAGTGAACTCGTAATTCTAATAAGAAACTATTTACGAGACTGCCAGCATCTACCGATCGCATTCGGGATGCGCCATTCATTGGACTTCAATTTAGATTTGCACTGACTGAGTGGAATGGTCAATTAATATGAACTTTACAGACTAATGCACTCTTGCAGTAAGTAAATCGATAGGCGAGGCTTGCCGATGTATAGGATATGCTCTTCATCTTGCAAGTAAGCCTGACAACAGCGTTCAGAGCACTAGGGTCTAACATAGGTTCTTGCCTTCCTGAAGGCGAGTTTGGACTGTGACAAAAGGCCTTAACACCGTTCGTACGGTCATGGTTCGAACTTCGACCAGTTCAAACAATCGAGCTCTTCTTACCTTGAAGGTCGGCTAACTGTTTAGAGGGTAAGAACTTTGATCTGCACTTTTTTTATCCTGGCTGGTCACAGAACAAATCGAAAGCCGTGTGGCCCTACCGATGTGATGTGCCATTCATGCCACCCTCTTTCTATTTTTTTTCTCTTTTTTCTCGTCTCATTTTCTTTTTTTTGCAATGGTTCAGCTTGAAAGATTCTATCTAANNTTTTTTTTTGAGTTTATTACGTCAATAGTCGTTGTAATGATAATTATCGCTGTTTACCTTTTTCCTCATGCTCTCATTCTTTTTAGTCATCCTTTCTTTCTTTTTCATTACACATTGCAATCCCTCTCTCTGCTTTTGTTGGATCTTCAATTATCGATAATGATAAGCTAAACAGACCACTTGAAATTGGATTTCTATATATTCGTGTCGAGTGGTTTTTTGGTATTCTTAAGATTATTTGGATAAACAAATAAATAAATGAATGATTAGATTAGCAGAGCTTTCACTTTTACTTATTAGCCTTACTTGGCACCTGATTTGTAATGTTGTAGATTGAATTCGACTACCGGCCGATATTATTTATAGTCATCCAGCCAGTTCTCAGGCTTTGCGCACGTTCAACTTGTTTTTATTTACTTCTACAAATGGCTTATATTGTTGTTTTTAGTTCTAAAGATGTCGCTAGTTTGTTCATCGCTGCCAGTTTGTACTTTGATGTTGTTGTGAAAGGGAGAAAAATGTAGCAAAAACAGTGATTTTCGTTCCGATATGAAACAAAATAGTCGCTCGACTACCCCATTAACCGTTGTTGTTGCTGGCTTCGGGAAAGGGAAAATGATTTAACTAGTAATGCAAAACGTATGGGTTAATCTCAAGGTAATAACCCAGACCTATTGTTGGGAACTATCAAACTCCTATTAATCGTAAAGGAAGTAGCGGGGGATAGGAAAAAATGAATAAAAATGAATGGAAATGGAAGAATTTTTTCAGAACGAGCAATGTATTTTCGGAAACTAATTGGTATCGAAATTTACCCTAATTTGATGGTTTCCCATCAGAACCACTGGGAGTCAAAAATTCAGCGTATGAAGTGAGTACAGGAGCTGAAGAAGGAGTAGGTCCTAGAAGAGGGTCACCCACCCTAAAGTCTTGATGTATCGAAATTTTGCAGCCTTTAGAGAAAAGCCTTGGGTGAAATTCTTTTTGCAAAGGAACACGCGAATCTAGGATCGATCGATTTTCTCGATAAACTTTATCCGTACTTCCTTCCATATTTCCAAAGAATTTAATACGTTCTTACTCTTGAATGGTCCTCCTCTGTCCGTTCCCCTTCTTCGACATAGAGAAGAAATTTCAAAAAAAATCTTATAGATCCTTGTACTAGCAAGGTCATTTTGTGCGTACTTTCAGCATAACCCGGTCACCATCAAATCAGTTCCTTTGCAACTTTACCGATTATTAATGCGTTTCCGCTGAATCGCCCGGATGCTCTAAATCATCCAGCGAATTGCCACACGTGTGAGAAACACACGTGTTCTCCAGGTTGGCCCAAATTTCTCAAATTCCTCAACGAACTTATGAGTAATCAGTTCCTAAGTATGTTTCGGTTTGATATTGTTATGTCACGGTGATTTAACTTCTTATGAAGTGTGAAATTCTTCACAGAAGGGTATGACGGCTACAACAATGCTTCTTTGAGATTTTGCTTCGGGGAGAGGGGAGAGCCGAGAGTGAGGGCATTCAGCTTTTGTCTGATGTTATATGATAGGAACAATTCTCCTCTTTGATTTGGATAACGATGCTTCATCGCCTTCTACAAACGCTAGGAGATAGGGAGTTTTATGCGGAGCAATTCAGGGGACAGGAACCATCTCCAGATCATCTGTCTGGGAAGCATTGCCGCCCACACATTTTCTCGGGCGACAGTCGCCAGAAAAAAATGTGGACCTACTTGTGGAGATGAGGAGCCTTCCAACATGATGCTCCCTATGAAAAGCATTAACTATCACGTCAGTTCATGGTCGGAACGCAACAGGTTAGTTTTGCTACAGAAGGTACTCTTCCTATATGGGGCCACCCACCAAGGGCAACATTGAGGAGGTTGGAACTTGACTGATATTCTCTGAATGGAAATTTAAGTTGGAATAGATGTCACTAGATAGTAGACCTGTGAAACATTACTAAATAAGCTTCATATACAATTCCAATCCCAAAATCAGTTGGCTGGAAAGTATAAACCATGTGAGCGAGTCTATCTAGCGGTATTTTTGAGGTGGTGATAGATTATGGGCAAGAGGTTTTGTCATTCCGTCAGATTCACAAAACACCATCTTAAATATGAAGAGGATTATATTTGCGGTGAAAAATGTACCTGTTATCGCAGCGGAAAAGGGATTGGGGTGGGTAGAATTTGGTGGTGGGGTGGAGTGAGATAAAAAAANAAAAAAAGCCTTTTTCAAAGATATGATTCTTCGTTACTGTTCTGCAGTTATCTGTTATATATTCAGAACGTTTTGTATTTTGGTATAGCTTTAGAACCCAGAAAGTTAGGCTTATCTTGAAGTTCCAAGGAGAAAAATTGGCAGTTAAACCACAGAAAAATTGTAAAAATAAAAAAGTGAATGATAATTAGTAATAAATTTAATTGATTAACAAAATTCAATTTTTTTTACAGCAGGGGCATAGAGATTGAACATTCCGTGGGTAAAATATTCACATAAGAAAACGTCCTGATTTGATCAACTAACCTCAAAGAAGGTAATGTAAATGAAGGTGCCGAGAGCGAGGCTTTGTAGAATACAAGTAACCGCATCCTTAGTCTGTGTGTACATTGTGGAATCCTGAACGATTACTTATTAGACTGAAGACTTAAGAACGTGGATGTCATTAGGGCAGAAAGCGACTGGACGCGACCCCGGCGCTACTAGTCTCGCGCGATTTTTTCGCGCAGTATGAACAAAGAAAACTGATGAAAGCTGCTCATTGTCGTGTCTTTACACAGCGGACTTTTCCTATGTCTTTCAAGGCTGCAAAAATTTAGGAATTACCAGGAGAGTCCGTTGTAGAAAACAAGAGCAGCTTGGTAAAGCAGAACTAAAGGATCGGTTAAAACGAAGAATTCTACGACTGAAGGGGAACTCAAAATTGATAAGTTATAGATAGAGTTAGTGGGTTCAGGAAATGATAGGTTTGCTCTGGAATCGATCGGCTGAGGTTGTATTCAAAAGAAATTAAAAAGGTCACTTCAGATCTTCCTTACGACATTCGCGACATTTTCCTTCTTTTTCATTTCCTTCCTCATTCGCTTTCTTTCCTTCTCTGTGGAACAGAGCTCTTCCCCATTTGTAGAACCCTCTGAAGCTGCCAAGAAAGGAAACATTGGCTACCCAATGTTGTCACTGAAACTCATCACTTCCCTCATGCCTCTTCCGTTTTTACATCTCTTTTTTTAAACAAACGACGCAAATCTGGCGTAAATCCTCCGAAATACAATCACCTTAGAGATAGTTTCATCGAAATGGAGTTTTTGGTTTTAATCCTCTTCTCGGTTCAAATGATTTGATACTCTTATCGCTATGGGATTTGAGTCTCGCCCATTTTCAGGAGAGAATCGTCGCTGGGGTGAAAGTTTTTCTGTGGCAAACCCCAAAAAGTCATACTGTAACTTCAACAGAACTATGTATAGCTACTAGGGTACTACCAGCAACAGAAGTGGGTAATATACTTATATGTTGTAAATGTATATCGATTTCTTCACCACTATTAATAAGCCTAGGCTCATTTTGGAACATTCTGGAAGGTTCCATGAAATTGTTATATTATATAAGGATACCGGGTACTTGTATGCGGCACAATATATTTGGTTTCTTCTTCCTTACTTACTTAGACCTTAAATGACGGAACCGCCTATTCACACTCGCCCGCAGTCGCTCCTGAGCCTCTCCGCCTACGCTTAGTTCTGAGGTTTCAAAGCCGGAAACAGTAAGATCAAAGATAGACCTCGATCCATTCAACCGATTTGGACATCATGAAATTTGCGGATATTTTATGCCTAGTTTTCCTAGGAAAACTTCCAGAACATTCCAGAAAATCTATGCCATTGTGAAATCCTAGGCTGATCACTTTCAAACGTCCCAATACCAGTAAGCAATGTAATCTAGGATAGGATGAAATAGAAGGGCGATGATTCTTGGTACAAGTCAGAACCTTTGGAAAGGCAAAGGTTCGTTTGCCTTTAGATGCCATATCAATGCCATAATTCAAACTTATTGGTTGATCAGTTGGAAATTTCGGGTGCTTAGACTGGATGGTAAGTAAGGTGAAGCTCAGATTGCCAAACGGCTTGAGAATAACTTCGCGTACCTGAAGGACAATTCCCACTGCGCCTCCGATAGGGGCAACGATGGCGAAAGCGCAGATGAGCGCGACAACTAGCCATCGACGATGTGTATGTGCTTCAGCAAGACGCATTCCAACAGAGAATGACACCACAGCTTTATGTACGATGATTCCAAAGAACAGCGACGCCACTGATACTGTTGTATCCTAAAAATAACTTCTAGAATTTGGTTGTACTAGGTTGCTCGGGTTGAAATAGATCGCAAGAATGAGAGAACAGGCCAGAGCTTCTTAGCTAGTTGTCTCGCCTTAAAGTCTTAGGAACTACTATGCCTACCGTCCTCTGATGGCTCATTCCTTGACACCCACTGGGAGCTTCCAGAGCATGAAATATTGTTAAGAAATGCTACTCGGTCCTTTATGTTGAGACAAACCCACCCTTGAAGCGATTTCCGAGAGGTGTCATAAAAAGACTTTAACTCTAACCAGTAAGTCGCTTCCCTACAGTACTTCAGGGTCGAAGAATAGCCCCACAAAAGGGTATTAGGTGGAAGGAAGAAATTTAGGTTGCTCCAGACATGGGTAAATGTGTGGGAACTTTGAAAACAGTGGAGGAAAGATATGTTTTCTTACTTGAACACCAAAAGCCACTCCCTCGAGGCTAGCATGGAACATCAGTGCGATCACAAAAGTCAGCGACTTTACAATTTTCGTTCTCGAATCTGTCTGAAAAACATTTTTGTTTACAACTATTGCAGCAGGTTGACGCAGCAAAATGTTTTCTAACAAATTCTCTTATAGATATCCTGGTACTTGAAAATTCAGCAAATTTTCGAATTTCGCAGGACTGAAAGTGGTTTTTCGAAGAATTCTCCATCCAGTTTATACAGATTTCAACTTACAGATTGGCTATCACTATCGGCACGAGCAGTACGATCAATATGCTCATTATGATGGTGATCAGCATGATGGTGATCAATATGATGGTTTATCTCCATATCTGAAGCGACGGAAACAAAGGTGGCTGCATGTTTCCTCCGTTCTTCCCTGAAAAGCTCAAGTCTACTAAACTACGTCCATATTGAGGTGAGTAAAAATCACCCACGCATACTCTTCATGACCACAAAATCTGTCCACGATTTCCTCGAGTAATCGCACTAGGAAGAATCCAATTGTGAACATCAATGGGACAAAAGGGTATTCACTCTTGTACTTGGCTGCAGTTTTCCAGCTTTCGTACGATTCGCTAAAATCATAGGATGGATCAAAAGAAAATTTTAGAATTTTTCATTTTTCATAGCCAAATCTGTGAGCGACTAAATTACGCTATAAAAATCCGCTTTGACATCATTTGATGGGATCAATTTCTGCTCGATAATCGCCCAATCCACGAAGTCTTCCTCGGGATTGGTTGTCAGACCCATCTGGGTAGGTAAACCATGTAAGCCGACTGGCACGCAAGTTATTGTTTAGGCCATATACGCAGACAAAACCGTCCTCACGCTCTCTAGGACAAGTGTCTTCTCAGGTTTTCGAGACTTTTCGAATTCCAGTGAAATAATATTTGAACTTTCTAGGAATGCTAGCTGCGAATTTTCGCGATTACAGTATTTACAATTATAACTTTAGTAGAGTTTGTTTGTTTTGGTCGATAAATAACTTACTAGGCTTCTGGCAGGATATCGAGAAAGCACACTGCCAGAAAAACACNTTAGGCCATATACGCAGACAAAACCGTCCTCACGCTCTCTAGGACAAGTGTCTTCTCAGGTTTTCGAGAATTTTCGAATTCCAGTGAAATCCTATTTGAACTTTATAGAAATGATAGCTGCAAATTTTGATAATTATAATTATAACTTTAGTAGAGTTTGTTTGTTTTGGTCGATAAATAACTTACTAGGCTTCTGGCAGGATATCGAGAAAGCACACTGCCAGAAAAACACCACCAGCAAAACATGACAGTAAAGAAATGGTGAAGGATGCTCGTTGTTCGAATTTTCCGGATTTTCTAGAAAGAATTTGGAAGACCTGTAAAATTTTTCTTTTTTGACGGTAGATATACCAGAAGAAGCCATAACTATTACCTTTAATGGAATAACGCCAAACAGAACGGTCGTAGCGGCCATTACACCGAGAAGAAGAGCTTTCAATACGACGATATTCATTTTTCTCCTGAAAAAAAAAACAATTCAAATAAAAATCTTCAAAGAAAAATTACGGGTGCCTTCGATCAGTAGGACAAATACTGGTGAATTAGAAAAATCATCTGAAATGATAACAGATTCTTCTGTGGAATTCGGTGAATGATTAGAGCACAGGCATGATAAGGCCCGTCAATGTCCATAGCCCTTCATAAGAAGGCCTAGGGAAGCTTATCGACAGGGAATTTTCTTAGCGACACGTAATCACTAGAAAAAACCCTCCAGGGATACCGATAACATTGAACAAGGCCTATAGTTGGCAGAAAATAAAACCATTTTTTGATGATCAGGGGCATTTGGGCATTTTAAATAGAATTCGATCAGCTCTTTATTCAATTTTCATTCAGAATATCAATGGAGTGTTAAAACGCATTTAGCTATTCAAAAGCGCTGTTTTAAGCCTAAAAAGGTATCCTTCCCTTACCGTAACCTTCTTAAACATTCCGTAAAGAGACTTAGAAGGAAGAAGGGAATTGAAAAAGGAAGGAAGAAAAGTATTAGCTTCCTTTCTCTTCCCTCTCACCCTTTCAGTTTTCTTCACGGAAAGTTCAGGAAGGTAAAAGTAAGGAAAGGATACTTTTTCAGGATTTTTGGATAAAATGCTCGGGAGAGAATAAGCTTCTTACAAATATATCACTGCAAATGAATGAAGCAATTCCATTTTCTCTCGGTGTGGGCTCTCGGATTTATGAAGTCCCTTACCTTCCAAAGCTCTTCTCGAAACACTGCTTTTGGACTGATAAGCTACCAATTCCCATTTGATTCCTTGATTATTCACTTATTCTATTTGCAAATTAAAGGATAAAAGATGAAAATTATGGCTTTATACATTCCCATTTTGAGATGCGCCCCTCATTTGACTCCCATTTGGGCGCTGGAAGTTGGATAACATACCTACTAGGTAGTTAGTATGTGGCCGACACAATGTCCTGCCGTGGCCAGTGAATGCACAAGTCAGTGCTTTTACCCACCAGATCCTATCCCAAGCCAACCAGCCTTCTACCACTTCGTGGAGGGAAGATTGGTACCAGGCGAGCCTCCCAACCAACTCACTACGGGAGACTAGAACGCTTGGTTGGTCTGGGCGAGTCTCGAGTCGGGGATTGAACCCGGACCATGCGTAAAGTGGCAACCACTTACCACTACACCATCTCCGCCCCTTATGTACAACGAAGAGCAGTGAAAAAGGAGTGCTAGGCGTAATTTAAAGGAATTACCCAGAGATCAAACTATGGAACTCCCAGAGCCCATGTTTGAGTTGCAGTAGTGAGTCTGACATCATGGTCATTTTAGTAGCAGGTTTAGGGGCCTAAAATTAAAAACAACAGAAATGAAGTCTTCTTTAGAAGTCTCACGGGTTAAGAGTCATTTATAGCTACGATTGCTATTGTTTCTACAACGTGGCCACGTAGAGAAGATTATGCAGGAATTTTGAAAAAAAAAGTGCCCAAACAAAGGAATTGATCCCGTATTCAAATAGCGATGCCCCACTCTATACATTCCTTCAATGTATGGCATTTATAAAAAAGCTTTTATCAATGTAAAGTGTTCATTCACAGGATCCGCACTCACATGGAAATCGGAAGTTTTAGTCATCTATTCCTACATTTAGAATGAGAATCAGAGCACTCACAATAATCTCTGACACACTTTGATCAGAAATCTAGTGGTAACCACCTCATGTGGTGTTTTTCGAGAAACATGGCTTCAGTGAGACCCTTGTACAGCACATGACCGATATGTCAATCACCCACGTGGGCGAAGTTCAAGGTATATATCACATAGGTGAGATGACCTGCCTACTTCGATGTAACGAGTGGGGCATTTGGGAATCCAACTCACAAAGTATGGCCTCATCTCTTTTCCCTCTTAGGGAAAATAACCAGAACTGGTCGCGAAGGAGAGAGTGTTCCACCAAATTGCAATATACGCATGAGATAGCAGTTATTTGTGTCTTTCTGCCCTTTCAGATACCACAAATGGACCTATCCACCACTCCTCCCCCTCCCCCCAACCCACTTTCTCCCACCCAGAACAAATTGCCAGTTTCTCTTCATCCCACCAAAGGTAGCGTATACCAAGCTCGAGATCGATCATAATAATCAATGATTGATTTTTTGAGTTATGACTATTTTTGTGACATAAGTGGAATATATTTGTAGCAGAACTCGCCGTATCGTACCTCAGAGGGAAGGAAAAACGGTGTTGGTACTAACGGCCTACTTCCCGTATGCTGCGGGGCTGACCTCGGCCAGCAGTGGAGATTTGGTCACTCAAAAAAAAAACGGTGGTGTGTCATTAGGTCTGCGTTTATCGTACTAGATGCGCTATTTTTATAGCATACAACTTAGCTAGACTTAGTTGTGTATGCGGGAGTATGAAATGGAAATTTCTAAAAAAAGGAAACTATGTGAGAAGGCACTTTAGGGACCCAGGGACCCCCTAGCGGACTTCAGCGTCGCACTGCCCGGAAATTTGCTCCGC